TTTTTTGCACACGCTAGGCCCTTGCTCTTGCTATTTTGCAGTCGCTAGGCCCTTGTTCTGGCAACTTTGCACACGCTAGGCCCTTGTTCTTGCAATTTTGCACACGCTAGGCCCTTGTTCTTTTTATTTTGCACACGCTTGGCCCTTGTTTTTTTTATTTTGCACACGCTAGGCCCTTGTTCTTGCTATTTTGCACACGCTATGCCCTTGTTCTTTTTATTTTGCACACGCTAGGCCCTTGTTCTTGCAATTTTGCACATGCTAGACCCTTGTTCTTTTTAGTTTGCACACGCTAGGCCCTTGTTCTTGCTATTTTGCGAATGCTAGGCCCTTGTTCTTGATTTTTTGCACACGCTAGGCCCTTGCTCTTGCTATTTTGCACTCGCTAGGCCCTTGTTCTTGCAATTTTGCACACGCTAGGCCCTTGTTCTTGCTATTTTGCACACGCTAGGCCCTTGTTCTTGCTATTTTGCCAACGCTAGGCCCTTGTTCTTTTTATTTTGCACACGCTAGGCCCTTGTTCTTTTTATTTTGCACTCGCTAGACCCTTGTTCTTGCGATTTTGCACATGCTAGGCCCTTGTTCTTGCAATTCTGCACACTCTAGGCCCTTGTTTTAGCTGTTTTGCACACGCTAGGCCCTTGTTCTTTTTATTTTGCACATGCTAGGCCCTTGTTCTTTTTATTTTGCACACGCTTGGCCCTTGCTCTTGCTATTTTGCACTCGCTAGGCCCTTGTTCTTGCAATTTTGCACACGCTAGGCCCTTGTTCTTGCAATTTTGCACACGCTAGGCCCTTGTTCCTGCTATTTTGCACACGCTAGGCCCTTGTTCTTTTTATTTTGCACACGCTAGGCCCTTGTTCTTGCTATTTTGCACACGCTATGCCCTTGTTCTTTTTATTTTGCACACGCTAGGCCCTTGTTCTAGCAATTTTGCACATGCTAGACCCTTGTTCTTTTTAGTTTGCACACGCTAGGCCCTTGTTCTTGCTATTTTGCGAACGCTAGGCCCATGTTCTTGATTTTTTGTACACGCTAGGCCCTTGCTATTGCTATTTTGCACTCGCTAGGCCCTTGTTCTTGCAATTTTGCACACGCTAGGCCCTTGTTCTTTTAATTTTCCACACGCTAGGCCCTTGTTCTTGCTATTTTGCACACGCTAGGCCCTTGTTCTTTTTATTTTGCACACGCTAGGTCCTTCTTCTTGCTATTTTGCATACGTTATGCCATAGTTCTTTTTATTTTGCACATGCTAGGCCCTTGTTCTTGCAATTTTGCACATGCTAGACCCTTGTTCTTTTTATTTTGCACACGCTAGGCCCTTGTTCTTGCTATTTCGCGAACGCTAGGCCCTTGTTCTTGATTTTTTGCACACGCTAGGCCCTTGCTCTTGCTATTTTGCAGTCGCTAGGCCCTTGTTCTGGCAACTTTGCACACGCTAGGCCCTTGTTCTTGCAATTTTGCACAAGCTAGGCTCTTGTTCTTGCTATTTTGCACACGCTAGGCCCTTGTTCTTTTTATTTTGCACACGCTAGGCCCTTGTTCTTGCTATTTTGCACACGCTATGCCCTTGTTCTTTTTATTTTGCACACGCTAGGCCCTTGTTCTAGCAATTTTGCACATGCTAGACCCTTGTTCTTTTTAGTTTGCACACGCTAGGCCCTTGTTCTTGCTATTTTGCGAACGCTAGGCCCTTGTTCTTGATTTTTTGTACACGCTAGGCCCTTGCTATTGCTATTTTGCACTCGCTAGGCCCTTGTTCTTGCAATTTTGCACACGCTAGGCCCTTGTTCTTTTAATTTTCCACACGCTAGGCCCTTGTTCTTGCTATTTTGCACACGCTAGGCCCTTGTTCTTTTTATTTTGCACACGCTACGCCCTTGTTCTTTTTATTTTGCACACGCTAGGCCCTTCTTCTTGCTACTTTGCGAATGCTAGGCCCTTGTTTTTGATTTTTTGCACACGCTAGGCCCTTGCTCTTGCAATTTTGCACTCGCTAGGCCCTTGTTCTTGCAATTTTGCACACGCTAGGCCCTTGTTCTTGCAATTTTGCACACGCTAGGCCCTTGTTCTTGCTATTTTGCACACGCTAGGCCCTTGTTCTTTTTTTTTTGCACACGCAAGGCCCTTGTTCTTTTTATTTTGCACACGCTAGGTCCTTCTTCTTGCTATTTTGCATACGTTATGCCATATATCTTTTTATTTTGCACATGCTAGGCCCTTGTTCTTGCAATTTTGCACATGCTAGACCCTTGTTCTTTTTATTTTGCACACGCTAGGCCCTTGTTCTTGCTATTTCGCGAACGCTGGGCCCTTGTTCTTGATTTTTTGCACATGCTAGGCCCTTGCTCTTGCTATTTTGCACTCGCTAGGCCCTTAACTGGCAACTTTGCACACGCTAGGCCCTTGTTCTTGCAATTTTGCACACGCTAGGCCCTTGTTCTTTTTATTTTGCACACGCTTGGCCCTTGTTCTTTTTATTTTGCACACGCTAGGCCCTTGTTCTTGCAATTTTGCACATGCTAGGCCCTTGTTCTTGCAATTTTGCACACGCTAGGCCCTTGTTCTTGCTATTTTGCACACGCTAGGCCCTTGTTCTTTTTTTTTTGCACACGCTAGGCCCTTGTTCTTGCTATTTTGCACACGCTATGCCCCTGTTCTTTTTATTTTGCACACGCTAGGCCCTTGTTCTTGCAATTTTGCACATGCTAGACCCTTGTTCTTTTTAGTTTGCACACGCTAGGCCCTTGTTCTTGCTATTTTGCGAACGCTAGGCCCTTGTTCTTGATTTTTTGTACACGCTAGGCCCTTGCTCTTGCTATTTTGCACTCGCTAGGCCCTTGTTCTTGCAATTTTGCACACGCTAGGCCCTTGTTCTTGCAATTTTGCACACGCTAGGACCTTGTTCTTGCTATTTTGCACACGCTAGGCCCTTGTTCTTTTTATTTTGCACACGCTAGGCCCTTGCTCTTTTTATTTTGCACAAGCTAGGCCCTTCTTCTTGCTATTTTGCGAATGCTAGGCCCTTGTTCTTGATTTTTTGCACACGCTAGGCCCTTGCTCTTGCTATTTTGCACTCGCTAAGCCCTTGTTCTTGCAATTTTGCACACGCTAGGCCCTTGTTCTTGCAATTTTGCACACGCTAGGCCCTTGTTCTTGCTATTTTGCACACGCTAGGCCCTTGTTTTTTCAATTTTGCACACGCTAGGCCCTTGTTCTTTTTATTTTGCACACGCTATGCCCTTGTTCTTGCTATTTTGCACACGCTATGCCCTTGTTTTTTTTATTTTGCACACGCTAGGACCTTGTTCTTGCAATTTTCCACATGCTAGACCCTTGTTCTTTTTATTTTGCACACGCTAGGCCCTTGTTCTTGCTATTTCGCGAACGCTAGGCTGTTGTTCTTGATTTTTTGCACACGCTAGTCCCTTTCTCTTGCTATTTTTGCACTCGCTAGGCCCTTGTTCTTGCAATTTTGCACACGCTAGGCCCTTGTTCTTGCAATTTTGCACATGCTAGGCCCTTGTTCTTTTTATTTTGCACACGCTAGGCCCTTGTTCTTTTTATTTTGCACACGCTAGGCCCTTGTTCTTGCTATTTGCAGACGCTATGCCCTAGTTCTTTTTATTTTGCACACGCTAGGCCCTTGTTCTTGCAATTTTGCACATGCTAGACCCTTGTTCTTTTTATTTTGCACACCCTATGCCCTTGCTTTTGCTATTTCGCGAACGCTAGGCCCTTGTTCTTGATTTTTTGCACACCCTAGGCCCTTGCTCTTGCTATTTTGCACTCGCTAGGCCCTTGTTCTTGCAATTTGCACACGCTAGGCCCTTGTTCTTTCAATTTTGCACACGCGAGGCCCTTGTTCTTTTTTTTTTGCACACGCTAGGCCCTTGTTCTTTTTATTTTGCACATGCTATGCCCTTGTTCTTGTTATTTTGCACACGCTATGCCTTTGTTCTTTTTTTTTTGCACACGGTAGGCCCTTGTTCTTGCAATTTTGCACATGCTAGGCCCTTGTTCTTTTTAGTTTGCACACGCTAGGCCCTTGTTCTTGCTATTTCGCGAACGCTAGGCCCTTGTTCTTGATTTTTTGCACACGCTAGGCCCTTGCTCCTGCTATTTTGCACTCGCTAGGCCCTTGTTCTTGCAATTTTGCACACGCTAGGCCCTTGTTCTTGTAATTTTGCACACGCTAGACCCTTGGTCTTGCAATTTTGGACATGCTAGGCCCTTGTTCTTGCAATTTTGCACACGCTAGGCCCTTGTTCTTGCTATTTTGCACACGCTATGCCCTTGTTTTTTTTTCTTTTGCACACGCTAGGCCCTTGTTCTTGCAATTTTGCACATGCTAGACCCTTGTTCTTTTTATTTTGCACACGCTAGGCCCTTGTTCTTGCTATTTCGCGAACGCTAGGCCCTTGTTCTTGATTTTTTGCACACGCTAGGCCCTTGCTCTTGCTATTTTGCACTCGCTAGGCCCTTGTTCTTGCAATTTTGCATACATTAGGCCCTTGTTCTTTCAATTTTGCACACGCTAGGCCCTTGTTCTTTTTATTCTGCACACGCTATGCCCTTGTTCTTTTTATTTTGCACACGCTAGGCCCTTGTTCTTTTTATTCTGCACACGCTATGCCCTTGTTCTTTTTATTTTGCACACGCTAGGCCCTTGTTCTTTTTATTTTGCACATGCTAGGCCCTTGTTCGTTTTATTTTGCACACGCTATGCCCTTGTTCTTGCTATTTTGCACACGCTATGCCCTTGTTCTTTTTTTTTTGCACACGCTAGGCCCTTGTTCTTGCAATTTTCCACATGCTAGACCCTTGTTCTTTTTATTTTGCACATGCTAGGCCCTTGTTCTTGCTATTTCGCGAACGCTAGGCCGTTGTTCTTGATTTTTTGCACACGCTAGGCCCTTGCTCTTGCTATTTTGCACTCGCTAGGCCCTTGTTCTCGCAATTTTGCACTCGCTAGGCCCCTGTTCTTGCAATTTTGCATATGCTAGGCCCTTGTTCTTTTTATTTTGCACACGCTAGGCCATTCTCCCGCTTTCCATCACCCCGCCCCATTCTCCCGCTTTCCATCACCCCGCCCCATTCTCCCTCTTTCCATCATCCCGCCCCATTCTCCCTCCTTCCATCACCCCGCCCCATTCTTTCGCTTCCCATCATCCCGCCCCATTCCCCCGCTTTCCATCACCCCTCCCCATTCTCCCTCCTTCCATCACCCCGCCCCATTCTCTCGCTTTCCATCACCCCGCCCCATTCTCCCGCTTTCCATCACCCCGCCCCATTTTCCCGCTTTCCATCACTCCGCCCCATTATCCCTCCTTCCATCACCCCGCCCCATTCTCCCTCCTTCCATCACCCCGCCACATTCTCCCACTTTCCATCACCCCGCCCCCTTCTCTCTCCTTCGATCACCCCGCCCCATTCTCCCTCCTTCCATCACCCCGCCCCATTCTCCCGCTTTCCATCAGCCCGCCCCATTCTCCCGCTTTCCATCACCCCTCCCCTTTCTCCCGCTTTCCATCTCCCCGCCCCATTCTCCCGCTTTCCATCACCCCGCCCCATTCTCCCGCTTTCTATCACCCCTCCCCATTCTCCCTCCTTCAATCACCCCGCCCCATTCTCTCGCTTTCCATCACCCCGCCCCATTCTCCCGCTTTCCATCACGCCGCCCCATTCTCCCGTTTTCCATCACCCCGCCCCATTCTCCCTCCTTCCATCACCCCGCCCCATTCTCCCGCTTTCCATCACCCCGCCCCATTCTCCCTCCTTCCATCACCCCGCCCCATTCTCCCTCATTCCATCACCCCGCCCCATTCTCCCGCTTTCCATCACATAGCCCCATTCTCCCGCTTCCCATAACCCCACCCCATTCTCCCACTTTCCATCACCCCGCCACATTTTCCCACTTTCCATCACCCCGCCCCCTTCTCTCTCCTTCCATCACCCCGCCCCATTCTCCCTCCTTCCATCACCCCGCCCCATTCTCCCGCTTTCCATCAGCCCGCCCCATTCTTCCGCTTTCCATCATCCCGCCCCTTTCTCCCGCTTTCCAACTCCCCGCCCCATTCTCGCGCTTTCCATCACCCCGCCCCATTCTCCCGCTTTCCATCACCCCGCCCCATTCTTCCGCTTCCCATCATCCCGCCCCATTCCACCGCTTTCCATCACCCCTCCCCATTCTCCCTCCTTCCATCACCCCGTCCCATTCTTCCGCTTTCCATCACCCGCCCCATTCTCCCGCTTTCCATCACCTCGCCCCATTCTCCCGCTTTCCATCACCCCGCCCCATTCTTCTGCTTTCCATCACCCCGCCCCATTCTCCCGCTTTCCATCACCCCGCCCCATTCTCCCTCCTTCTATCACCCCGCCCCATTCTCCCGCTTTCCACCACCCCGCCCCATTCTCTCGATTTCCATCACCCCGCCCCATTCTCCCGCTTTCCATCATCCCGCCCCATTCTCCCTCCTTCCAGCACCCCGCCCCATTCTCCCGCATTCCATCACTCCGCCCCATTCTCCCTCCTTCCATCACCCCGCCCCATTCTCCCTCCTTCCATCACCCCGCCCCATTCTCCCACTTTCCATCACCCCGCCCCAATCTCCTGCTTCCCATAACCCCACCCCATTCTCCCGCTTTCCATCTCCCCGCCCCATTCTCCCGCTTTCCATCACCCCGCCCCATTCTCCCGCTTTCCATCACCCCGCCCCATTCTTCCGCTTCCCATCATCCCGCCCCATTCCGCCGCTTTCCATCACCCCTCCCCATTCTCCCTCCTTCCATCACCCTGCCCCATTCTCTCGCTTTCCATCACCCCGCCCCATTCTCCCGCTTTCCATCACGCCGCCCCATTCTCCCGCTTTCCATCACCCCGCCCCATTCTCCCTCCTTCCATCACCCCGCCCCATTGTCCCGCTTTCCATCACCCCGCCCCATTCTCCTTTCTTCCATCACCCCGCCCCATTCTCCCTCATTCCATTACCACGCCCCATTCTCCCGCTTTCCATCACCCCGCCCCATTCTCCCGCTTCCCATAACCCCACCCCATTCCCCCGCTTTCCATCACCCCGCCCCCTTCTCTCTCCTTCCATCACCCCGCCCCCTTCTCCTTCCTTCCATCACCCCGCCCCATTCTCCCGCTTTCCATCAGCCCGCCCCATTCTCCCGCTTTCCATCACCCCGCCCCATTCTCCCGCTTTCCATCACCCCGCCCCATTCTCCCGCTTTCCATCACCCCGCCCCATTCTCCCGCTTTCCATCACCCCGCCCCATTCTTCCGCTTCCCATCATCCCGCCCCATTCCACCGCTTTCCATCACCCCTCCCTATTCTCCCTCCTTCCATCACCCCGCCCCATTCTCCCGCTTTCCATCACCCCGCCCCATTCTCCCTCCTTCCATCACCCCGCCCCATTCTCCCGCTTTCCATCACCCCGCCCCATTCTCCCGATTTCCATCACCCCGCCCCATTCTCCCGCTTTCCATCACCCCGCCCCATTCTCCCGCTTTCCATCACCCCGCCCCATTTTCCCGCTTTCCATCATCCCGCCCCATTCTCCCTCCTTCCATCACCCCGCCCCATTCTTCCGCTTCCCATCATCCCGCCCCATTCTCCCGCTTTCCATCACCCCGCCCCATTCTCCCTCCTTCCATCACCCCGCCCCATTCTCCTGCTTTCCATCAGCCCGCCCCATTCTCTCGCTTTCCATCACCCCGCCCCTTTCTCCCGCTTTCCATCTCCCCGCCCCATTCTCCCGCTTTCCATCACCTTGCCCCATTCTCCCGCTTTCCATCACCTTGCCCCATTCTCCCGCTTCCCATCACCCCGCCCCATTCTCCCGCTTTCCATCACCCCGCCCCATTCTTCCGCTTCCCATCATCCCGCCCCATTCTCCCGCTTTCCATCACCCCGCCCCATTCTCCCGCTTCCCATAACCCCACCCCATTCTCCCGCTTTCCATCACCCCGCCACATTCTCCCGCTTTCTATCACCCCGCCCCATTCTCCCTCCTTCCATCACCCCGCCCCATTCTCCCGCTTTCCATCACCCCGCCCCATTCTCCCGATTTCCATCACCCCGCCCCATTCTCCCGCTTTCCATCACCCCGCCCCATTCTCCCGCTTTCCATCACCCCGCCCCATTTTCCCGCTTTCCATCATCCCGCCCCATTCTCCCTCCTTCCATCACCCCGCCCCATTCTTCCGCTTCCCATCATCCCGCCCCATTCTCCCGCTTTCCATCACCCCGCCCCATTCTCCCTCCTTCCATCACCCCGCCCCATTGTCCCGCTTTCCATCACCCCGCCCCATTCTCCTTTCTTCCATCACCCCGCCCCATTCTCCCTCATTCCATTACCACGCCCCATTCTCCCGCTTTCCATCACCCCGCCCCATTCTCCCGCTTCCCATAACCCCACCCCATTCCCCCGCTTTCCATCACCCTGCCCCCTTCTCTCTCCTTCCATCACCCCGCCCCCTTCTCCTTCCTTCCATCACCCCGCCCCATTCTCCCGCTTTCCATCAGCCCGCCCCATTCTCCCGCTTTCCATCACCCCGCCCCATTCTCCCGCTTTCCATCACCCCGCCCCATTCTCCCGCTTTCCATCACCCCGCCCCATTCTCCCGCTTTCCATCACCCCGCCCCATTCTTCCGCTTCCCATCATCCCGCCCCATTCCACCGCTTTCCATCACCCCTCCCTATTCTCCCTCCTTCCATCACCCCGCCCCATTCTCCCGCTTTCCATCACCCCGCCCCATTCTCCCTCCTTCCATCACCCAGCCCCATTCTCCCTCCTTCCATCATCCCGCCCCATTCTCCCGCTTTCCATCACCCCGCCCCATTCTCCCGCTTCCCATAACCCCACCCCATTCTCCCGCTTTCCATCACCCCGCCACATTCTCCCGCTTTCTATCACCCCGCCCCATTCTCCCTCCTTCCATCACCCCGCCCCATTCTCCCGCTTTCCATCACCCCGCCCCATTCTCCCGATTTCCATCACCCCGCCCCATTCTCCCGCTTTCCATCACCCCGCCCCATTCTCCCGCTTTCCATCACCCCGCCCCATTTTCCCGCTTTCCATCATCCCGCCCCATTCTCCCTCCTTCCATCACCCCGCCCCATTCTTCCGCTTCCCATCATCCCGCCCCATTCTCCCGCTTTCCATCACCCCGCCCCATTCTCCCTCCTTCCATCACCCCGCCCCATTCTCCTGCTTTCCATCAGCCCGCCCCATTCTCTCGCTTTCCATCACCCCGCCCCTTTCTCCCGCTTTCCATCTCCCCGCCCCATTCTCCCGCTTTCCATCACCTTGCCCCATTCTCCCGCTTTCCATCACCCCGCCCCATTCTTCCGCTTCCCATCATCCCGCCCCTTTTCCCCGCTTTCCATCACCCCTCCCCATTCTCCCTCCTACCATCACCCCGCCCCATTCTCCCGCTTTCCATCACCCTGCCCCATTCTCCCTCCTTCCATCACCCTGCCCCATTCTCTCGCTTTCCATCACCCCGCCCCATTCTCCCGCTTTCCATCACGCCGCCCCATTCTCCCGCTTTCCATCACCCCGCCCCATTCTCCCTCCTTCCATCACCCCGCCCCATTGTCCCGCTTTCCATCACCCCGCCCCATTCTCCTTTCTTCCATCACCCCGCCCCATTCTCCCTCATTCCATTACCACGCCCCATTCTCCCGCTTTCCATCACCCCGCCCCATTCTCCCGCTTCCCATAACCCCAACCCATTCTCCCGCTTTCCATCACCCCGCCACATTTTCCCCCTTTCCATCACCCCGCCCCCTTCTCTCTCCTTCCATCACCCCGCCCCCTTCTCCTTCCTTCCATCACCCCGCCCCATTCTCCCGCTTTCCATCAGCCCGCCCCATTCTCCCGCTTTCTATCACCCCGCCCCATTCTCCCGCTTTCCATCACCCCGCCCCATTCTCCCGCTTTCCATCACTCCGCCCCATTCTCCCGCTTTCCATCACCCCGACCCATTCTCCCACTTTCCATCACCCCGCCCCCTTCTCCCTCCTTTCATCACCCTGCCCCATTCTCCCGCCTTCCATCACCCCGCCCCATTCTCCCGCTTTCCATCACCCCGCCCCATTCTCCCGCTTTCCATCACCCCGCCCCATTCTCCCGCTTTCCATCAACCCGCCCCATTCTCCCGCTTTCCATCATCCCGCCCCATTCTCCCGCTTTCCATCATCCCGCCCCATTCTCCCTCCTTCCATCACCCCGCCCCATTCTCCCGCTTTCCATTCCTCTGCCCCATTCTCCCTCCTTCCATCACCCCGCCCCATTCTCCCTTCTTCCATCACCCCGCCCCATTCTCCCGCTTTCCATCACCCCGCCCCATTCTCCCGCTTCCCATAATCCCACCCCATTCTCCCGCTTTCCATCACCCCGCCACATTCTCCCACTTTCCATCACCCCGCCCCCCTCTCTCTCCTTCCATCACCCCGCCCCATTCTCCCTCCTTCCATCACCCCGCCCCATTCTCCCGCTTTCCATCAGCCCGCCCCATTCTCCCGCTTTCCATCACCCCGCCCCATTCTCCCGCTTTCCATCTCCCCGCCCCATTCTCCCGCTTTCCATCACCCCGCCCCATTCTCCCGCTTTCCATCACCCCGCCCCATGCTTCCGCTTCCCATCATCCCGCCCCATTCCCCCGCTTTCCATCACCCCTCCCCATTCTCCCTCCTTCCATCACCCCGCCCCATTCTCTCGCTTTCCATCACCCCGCCCCATTCTCCCGCTTTCCATCACCCCGCCCCATTCTCCCGCTTTCCATCACCCCGCCCCATTCTCCCTCCTTCCATCACCCCGCCCATTCTCCCGCTTTCCATCACCCTGCCCCATTCTCCCTCCTTCCATCACCCTGCCCCATTCTCCCTCATTCCATCACCCCGCCCCATTCTCCCGCTTTCCATCACCACGCCCCATTCTCCCGCTTCCCATAACCCCACCCCATTCTCCCGCTTTCCATCACCCCGCCACATTTTCCCACTTTCCATCACCCCGCCCCCTTCTCTCTCCTTCCATCACCCCGCCCCATTCTCCCTCCTTCCATCACCCCGCCCCATTCTCCCTCCTTCCATCACCCCGCCCCATTCTCCCGCTTTCCATCAGCCCGCCCCATTCTCCCGCTTTCCATCACCCCGCCCCTTTCTCCCGCTTTCCATCTCCCCGCCCCATTCTCCCGCTTTCCATCACCCCGCCCTATTCTCCCGCTTTCCATCACCCCGCCCCATTCTTCCGCTTCCCATCACCCTGCCCCATTCCCCCACTTTCCATCACCCCTCCCCATTCTCCCTCCTTCCATCACCCCGCCCCATTCTCCCCCTTTCCATCACCCGCCCCATTCTCCAGCTTACCATCACCCCGCCCCATTCTCCCGCTTTCCATCACCCCGCCCCATTCTCCAGCTTTCCATCACCCCGCCCCATTCTCCCGCTTTCCATCAACCCGCCCCATTCTCCCGCTTTCCATCACCCCGCCCCGTTCTCCTGCTTTCCATCACCCCGCCCCATTCTCCCGCTTTCCATAACCCCGCCCCATTCTCCCGCTTTCCATCACCCCGCCCCATTCTCCTGCTTTCCATCACCCCGCCCCATTCTTCCGCTTTCCATCACCCCGCCCCATTCACCCCGCCCCATTCTCCCTCTTTCCATCAACCCGCCCCATTCTCCCGCTTTTCTTCACCCCGCCCCATTCTCCCTCTTTCCATCACCCCACCCCATTCTTCCGCTTTTCATCACCCTGCCCCATTCTCCCTCTTTTCTTCACCCCGCCCCATTCCCCCTCTTTCCATCAGCCCGCCCCATTCTCCCGCTTTTCTTCACCCCGCCCCATTCTTCCGCTTTTCATCACCCCGCCCCATTCTCCCGCTTTCCATCACCCCGCCCCATTCTCCCGCTTTCCATCACCCCGCCCCATTCTCCCGCTTTCCATCACCCCGCCCCGTTCTCCCGCTTTCCATCACTCCGCCCCATTCTCCCGCTTTCCATCACCCCGCCCTATTCTCAAGCTTTCCATCACCCGGCCCCATTCTCCCGCTTTCCATCACGCCGCCCCATTCTCCCGCTTTCCATCACCCCGCCCCATTCTCCAGCTTTCCATCACCCCGCCCCATTCTCCCGCTTTCCATCACCCCGCCCCATTCTCCCGCTTTCCATCACCCCGCCCCATTCTCCCGCTTTCCATCACCCCGCCCCTTTCTCCCTCTTTCCATCACCCCGCCCCATTCTCCCGCTTTCTATCACCCAGCCCCATTCTCCCGCTTTCCATCACCCCACCCCATTCTCCAGCTTTCATCACCCCGCCCCATTCTCCCTCTTTTCATCACCCCGCCCCATTCTCCCTCTTTCCACCACCCCGCCCCATTCTCCCCCTTTCCATCACCCCGGCCCATTCTCCCTATTTCCATCACCCCGCTCCAGACTCCCACTTTCCATCACCCCGCCCCATTCCCTCGCTTTCCGTCACCCCGCCCCATTCTCCCGCTTTCCATCACCCCGCCCCATTCTCCCTCTTTCCATCACCCCGCCCCAGTCTCCCTCTTTTCATCACCCCGCCCCATTCTCCCTATTTCCATCACCCTGCCCCATGCTCCCTCTTTCCATCACCCCGCCCCATCCTCCCTATTTCCATCACCCCGCCCCATTCTTCCGCTTTCCATCACCCAGCCCCATTCTCCAGCTTACCATCACCCTGCCCCATTCTCCCGCTTTCCATCACCCCGCCCCATTCTCCATCTTTCCATCACCCCGCCCCATTCTCCCGCTTTCCATCAACCCGCCCAATTCTCCCGCTTTCCATCACCCCGCCCCATTCTCCCGCTTTCCATCACCCCGCCCCATTCTCCCGCTTTCCATCACCCCGCCCCATTCTCCCGCTTTCCATCACCCCGCCCCATTCTCCCGCTTTCCATCACCCCGCCCCATTCTTCCGCTTTCCATCACCCCGCCCCATTCACCCCGCCCCATTCTCCCTCTTTCCATCAACCCGCCCCATTCTCCCGCTTTTCTTCACCCCGCCCCATTCTCCCTCTTTCTATCACCCCACCCCATTCTTCCGTTGTTCATCACCCTGCCCCTTATTCCCTCTTTCCATCACCCCGCCCCATTCCCCCTCTTTCCATCAGCTCGCCCCATTCTCCCGCTTTTCTTCACCCCGCCCCATTCTTCCGCTTTTCATCACCCCGCCCCATTCTCCCGCTTTCCATCACCCCGCCCCATTCTCCCTCTTTCCATCACCCCGCCCCAGTCTCCCTCTCTTTATCACCCCACCCAATTCTCCCTATTTCCATCACCCTGCCCCATGCTCCCTCTTTCCATCACCCCGCCCCATCCTCCCTGTTTCCATCACCCCGCCCCATTCTTCCGCTTTCCATCACCCCGCCCCATTCTCCAGCTTACCATCACCCCGCCCCATTCTCCCGCTTTCCATCACCCCGCCCCATTCTCCAGCTTTCCATCACCCCGCCCCATTCTCCCGCTTTCCATCAACCCGCCCAATTCTCCTGCGTTCCATCACCCCGCCCCATTCTCCCGCTTTCTATCATCCCGCCCCATTCTCCCGCTTTCCATCACCTCGCCCTATTCTCCCGCTTTCCACCACCCTGCCCCATTCTCCCGCTTTCCATCACCCTGCCCCATTCTCCCGCTTTCCATCACCCCGCCCCATTCTCCCGCTTTCCATCACCCCGCCCCATTCTCCCTCTTTCCATCACCCCGCCCCAGTCTCCCTCTTTTCATCACCCCGCCCCATTCTCCCTATTTCCATCACCCTGCCCCATGCTCCCTCTTTCCATCACCCCGCCCCATCCTCCCTATTTCCATCACCCCGCCCCATTCTTCCGCTTTCCATCACCCAGCCCCATTCTCCAGCTTACCATCACCCTGCCCCATTCTCCCGCTTTCCATCACCCCGCCCCATTCTCCATCTTTCCATCACCCCGCCCCATTCTCCCGCTTTCCATCAACCCGCCCAATTCTCCCGCTTTCCATCACCCCGCCCCATTCTCCCGCTTTCCATCACCCCGCCCCATTCTCCCGCTTTCCATCACCCCGCCCCATTCTCCCGCTTTCCATCACCCCGCCCCATTCTCCCGCTTTCCATCACCCCGCCCCATTCTTCCGCTTTCCATCACCCCGCCCCATTCACCCCGCCCCATTCTCCCTCTTTCCATCAACCCGCCCCATTCTCCCGCTTTTCTTCACCCCGCCCCATTCTCCCTCTTTCTATCACCCCACCCCATTCTTCCGTTGTTCATCACCCTGCCCCTTATTCCCTCTTTCCATCACCCCGCCCCATTCCCCCTCTTTCCATCAGCTCGCCCCATTCTCCCGCTTTTCTTCACCCCGCCCCATTCTTCCGCTTTTCATCACCCCGCCCCATTCTCCCGCTTTCCATCACCCCGCCCCATTCTCCCTCTTTCCATCACCCCGCCCCAGTCTCCCTCTCTTTATCACCCCACCCAATTCTCCCTATTTCCATCACCCTGCCCCATGCTCCCTCTTTCCATCACCCCGCCCCATCCTCCCTGTTTCCATCACCCCGCCCCATTCTTCCGCTTTCCATCACCCCGCCCCATTCTCCAGCTTACCATCACCCCGCCCCATTCTCCCGCTTTCCATCACCCCGCCCCATTCTCCAGCTTTCCATCACCCCGCCCCATTCTCCCGCTTTCCATCAACCCGCCCAATTCTCCTGCGTTCCATCACCCCGCCCCATTCTCCCGCTTTCTATCATCCCGCCCCATTCTCCCGCTTTCCATCACCTCGCCCTATTCTCCCGCTTTCCACCACCCTGCCCCATTCTCCCGCTTTCCATCACCCTGCCCCATTCTCCCGCTTTCCATCACCCCGCCCCATTCTCCCGCTTTCCATCACCCCGCCCCATTCTCCCGCTTTCCATCACCCCGCCCCATTTTCAAGCTTTCCATCACCCCGCCCCATTCTCCTGCTTTCCATCACCCCGCCCCATTCTCCCGCTTTCCATCACCTCGCCCCATTCTCCCGCTTTTCATCACCCCGCCCCATTCTCCCGCTTTCCATCACCCCGGCCCATTCTCCCGTTTTCCATCACCCCGCCCCATTCTCCTGCTTTCCATCACCCCGCCCTATTCTCCCGCTTTCCATCACCCCGCCCCATTCTCCCGCTTTCCATCACCCCGTCCCATTCTCCCTCTTTTCATCACCCCGCCCCATTCTCCCTCTTTCCACCACCCCGCCCCATTCTCCCGCCTTCCATCACCCCGGCCCATTCTCCCTATTTCCATCACCCCGCTCCATTCTCCCACTTTCCATCACCCCGCCCCATTCTCCCGCTTTCCGTCACCCCGCCCCAGTCTCCCTCCTTCCATCACCCCGCCCCATTCTCCCTATTTCCATCACCCTGCCCCATGCTCCCTCTTTCCATCACCCCGCCCCATTCTTCCGCTTTCCATCACCCCGCCCCATTCTCCAGCTTACCATCACCCCGCCCCATTCTCCCGCTTTCCATCACCCCGCCCCATTCTCCCGCTTTCCATCACCCCGCCCCATTCTCCCGCTTTCCATCAACCCGCCCAATTCTCCCGCTTTCCATCACCCCGCCCCATTCTCCCGCTTTCCATCTCCCCGCCCCATTCTCCCGCTTTCCATCACCCCGCCCCATTCTCCCGCTTTCCATCACCCCGCCCCATTCTCCCGCTTTCCATCACCCTGCCCCATTCTTCCGCTTTCCATCACCCCGCCCCATTCACCCCGCCCCATTCTCCCCCTTGCCATCAACCCGCCCCATTCTCCCGCTTTTCTTCACCCCGCCCCATTCTCCCTCTTTCCATCACCCCACCCCATTCTTCCGCTTTTCATCACCCTGCCCCATTCTCCCTCTTTCCTTCACCCCGCCCCATTCCCCCTCTTTCCATCACCCCGACCCATTCTCCCGCTTTCCATCACCCCGCCCCATTCTCCCTCTTTCCATCACCCCGCCCCAGTCTCCCTCTTTCCATCACCCCGCCCCATTCTCCCTATTTCCATCACCCTGCCCCATGCTCCCTCTTTCCATCACCCCGCCCCATTCTTCCGCTTTCCATCACCCCGCCCCATTCTCCAGCTTACCATCACCCCGCCCCATTCTCCCGCTTTCCATCACCCCGCCCCATTCTCCCGCTTTCCATCACCCCGCCCTATTCTCCCGCTTTCCATCAACCCGCCCAATTCTCCCGCTTTCCATCACCCCGCCCCATTCTCCCGCTTTCCATCACCCCGCCCCATTCTCCCGCTTTCCATCACCCCGCCCCATTCTCCCGCTTTCCATCACCTTGCCCCATTCTCCCGCTTTCCATCACCCTGCCCCATTCTTCCGCTTTCCATCACCCCGCCCCATTCACCCCGCCCCATTCTCCCTCTTTCCATCAACCCGCCCCATTCTCCCGCTTTTTCTTCACCCCGCCCGATTCTCCCTCTTTCCATCACCCCACCCCATTCTTCCGCTTTTCATCACCCTGCCCCATTCTCCCTCTTTCCTTCACCCCGCCCCATTCCCCCTCTTTCCATCAGCCCGCCCCATTCTCCCGCTTTTCTTCACCCCGCCCCATTCTTCCGCTTTTCATCACCCCGCCCCATTCTCCCGCTTTCCATCACCCCGCCTTATTCTCCCGCTTTCCATCACCCCGCCCCATTCTCCCTCTTTCCATCACCCCGCCCCGTTCTCCCGCTTTCCATCACTCCGCCCCATTCTTCCGCTTTTCATCACCCCGCCCCATTCTCCCGCTTTCCATCACCCCGCCCTATTCTCAAGCTTTCCATCACCCGGCCCCATTCTCCCGCTTTCCATCACCCCGCCCCATTCTCCCGCTTTCCATCTCCCCGCCCCATTCTCCCGCTTTCCATCACCCCGCCCCATTCTCCCGCTTTCCACCACCCTGCCCCATTCTCCCGCTTTCCATCACCCTGCCCCATTCTCCCGCTTTCCATCACCCCGCCCCATTCTCCCGCTTTCCATCACCCCGCCCCATTCTCCCGCTTTCCATCACCCCGCCCCATTTTCAAGCTTTCCATCACCCCGCCCCATTCTCCTCCTTTCCATCACCCCGCCCCATTCTCCCGCTTTCCATCACCTCGCCCGATTCTCCCGCTTTTCATCACCCCGCCCCATTCTCCCGCTTTCCATCACCCCGGCCCATTCTCCCGTTTTCCATCACCCCGCCCCATTCTCCTGCTTTCCATCACCCCGCCCTATTCTCCCGCTTTCCATCAGCCCGCCCCATTCTCCCGCTTTCCATCACCCCGTCCCATTCTCCCTCTTTTCATCACCCCGCCCCATTCTCCCTCTTTCCACCACCCCGCCCCATTCTCCCGCCTTCCATCACCCTGGCCCATTCTCCCTATTTCCATCACCCCGCTCCATTCTCCCACTTTCCATCACCCCGCCCCATTCTCCCGCTTTCCGTCACCCCGCCCCAGTCTCCCTCCTTCCATCACCCCGCCCCATTCTCCCTATTTCCATCACCCTGCCCCATGCTCCCTCTTTCCATCACCCCGCCCCATTCTTCCGCTTTCCATCACCCCGCCCCATTCTCCAGCTTACCATCACCCCGCCCCATTCTCCCGCTTTCCATCACCCCGCCCCATTCTCCCGCTTTCCATCACCCCGCCCCATTCTCCCGCTTTCCATCAACCCGCCCAATTCTCCCGCTTTCCATCACCCCGCCCCATTCTCCCGCTTTCCATCTCCCCGCCCCATTCTCCCGCTTTCCATCACCCCGCCCCATTCTCCCGCTTTCCATCACCCCGCCCCATTCTCCCGCTTTCCATCACCCTGCCCCATTCTTCCGCTTTCCATCACCCCGCCCCATTCACCCCGCCCCATTCTCCCCCTTGCCATCAACCCGCCCCATTCTCCCGCTTTTCTTCACCCCGCCCCATTCTCCCTCTTTCCATCACCCCACCCCATTCTTCCGCTTTTCATCACCCTGCCCCATTCTCCCTCTTTCCTTCACCCCGCCCCATTCCCCCTCTTTCCATCACCCCGACCCATTCTCCCGCTTTCCATCACCCCGCCCCATTCTCCCTCTTTCCATCACCCCGCCCCAGTCTCCCTCTTTCTATCACCCCGCCCCATTCTCCCTATTTCCATCACCCTGCCCCATGCTCCCTCTTTCCATCACCCCGCCCCATTCTTCTGCTTTCCATCACCCCGCCCCATTCTCCAGCTTACCATCACCCCGCCCCATTCTCCCGCTTTCCATCACCCCGCCCCATTCTCCCGCTTTCCATCACCCCGCCCTATTCTCCCGCTTTCCATCAACCCGCCCAATTCTCCCGCTTTCCATCACCCCGCCCCATTCTCCCGCTTTCCATCACCCCGCCACATTCTCCCGCTTTCCATCACCCCGCCCCATTCTCCCGCTTTCCATCACCTTGCCCCATTCTCCCGCTTTCCATCACCCTGCCCCATTCTTCCGCTTTCCATCACCCCGCCCCATTCACCCCGCCCCATTCTCCCTCTTTCCATCAACCCGCCCCATTCTCCCGCTTTTCTTCACCCCGCCCCATTCTCCCTCTTTCCATCACCCCACCCCATTCTTCTGCTTTTCATCACCCTGCCCCATTCTCCCTCTTTCCTTCACCCCGCCCCATTCCCCCTCTTTCCATCAGCCCGCCCCATTCTCCCGCTTTTCTTCACCCCGCCCCATTCTTCCGCTTTTCATCACCCCGCCCCATTCTCCCGCTTTCCATCACCCCGCCTTATTCTCCCGCTTTCCATCACCCCGCCCCATTCTCCCTCTTTCGATCACCCCGCCCCGTTCTCCCGCTTTCCATCACTCCGCCCCATTCTTCCGCTTTTCATCACCCCGCCCCATTCTCCCGCTTTCCATCACCCCGCCCTATTCTCAAGCTTTCCATCACCCGGCCCCATTCTCCCGCTTTCCATCACCCCGCCCCATTCTCCCGCTTTCCATCACCCCGCCCCATTCTCAAGCTTTCCATCACCCCGCCCCATTCTCCCGCTTTCCATCACCCCGCCCCATTCTCCCGCTTTCCATCACCCCGCCCCATTCTCCCGCTTTCCATCACCCCGCCCCTTTCTCCCTCTTTCCATCACCCAGCCCCATTCTCCCGCTTTCCATCACCCCGCCCCATTGTCCCGCTTTCCATCACCCCACCCCATTCTCCCGTTTTCCATCACCCCGCCCCATTCTCCCGCTTTCCATCACCCCGCCCCTTTCTCCCTCTTTTCATCACCCCGCCCCATTCTCCCTCTTTCCATCACCCCACCCCATCCTTCCTCTTTCCATCGCCCCGCCCCATTCTTTCGCTTTTCATCACCCCGTCCCATTCTCCCTCTTTCCATCACCCCGCCCCGTTCCCCCTCTTTCCATCAGCCTGCCCCATTCTCCCGCTCTCCATCACCCCGCCCTATTCTCCCTATTTCTATCACCCCACCCCATTCTCCCGCTTTCCATCACCCCGCTTTCCATCACCCCGCCCCATTCTCCCGCTTTCCATCACCCCGCCCCATTCTCCCTCTTCCCATCACCCCGCCCCATTCTCCCTCTTTCCATCACCCCGCCCTATTCTCCCTCTTCCCATCACCCCGGCCCATTCTCCCGCTTTCCATTACCCCCCCCCATTCTCCCGCTTTCCATCACCCCGCCCCATTCTTCCTCTTTCCATCATCCCGCCCCATTCTCACGCTTTCCATCATCCCGCCCCATTCTCCCGCTTTCCATCACCCTGCTCCTTTCTTCCTCTTTCCATCACCCCGCCCCATTCTCCCGCTTTCCATCTCCGCGCCCCATTCTCCCGCTTTCCATCACCCCGCCCCATTCTCTTGCTTTCCATCACCCCGCCCCATTCTTCTGCTTTCCATCACCCCGCGCCATTTTCCCTCTTTCCATCACCCTGCCCCATTCTCCCGCTTTCCATCACCCCGCCCCATTCTCCCTCTTTCCATCACCCCGCCCCATTCTCCCTCTTTCCATCACCCCGCCCCATTCTCCCGCTTTCCATCACCCCGCGCCATTTTCCCTCTTTCCATCACCCCGCCCCATTCTCCCGCTTTCCATCACCCCGCCCCATTCTCCCGCTCTCCATCACCCCGCCCTATTCTCCCTATTGTTATCACCCCACCCCATTCTCCCGCTTTCCATCACCCCGCTTTCCATCACCCCGCCCCATTCTCCCGCTTTCCATCACCCCGCCCCATTCTCCCTCTTCCCATCACCCCGCCCCATTCTCCCTCTTTCCATCACCCCGCCCTATTCTCCCTCTTCCCATCACCCCGGCCCATTCTCCCGCTTTCCATTACCCCGCCCCATTCTCCAGCTTTCCATCACCCCGCCCCATTCTCCCTCTTTCCATCACCCCGCCCCATTCTCACGCTTTCCATCATCCCGCCCCATTCTCCCGCTTTCCATCACCCCGCCCCTTTCTTCCTCTTTCCATCACCCCGCCCCATTCTCCCGCTTTCCATCTCCGCGCCCCATTCTCCCGCTTTCCATCACCCCGCCCCATTCTCCTGCTTTCCATCACCCCGCCCTATTCTTCCGCTTTCCATCACCTTGCCCCATTCTCCCTCTTTCCATCTCCCCGCCCCATTCTCCCTCTCTCCATCACCCAGCCCCATTCTCCCGCTTTCCATCATCCCGCCCCATTCTCCCGCTTTCAATCACCCCGCCCCATTCTTTCGCTTTCCATCACCCCGCCCCATTCTCCCGCTTTCCATCACCCCGCCCCATTCTCCCGCTTTCCATCACCCCGCCCCATTCTCCCTCTTTCCATCACCCCGCCCCATTCTCCCGCTTTCCATCACCCCGCGCCATTTTCCCTCTTTCCATCACCCCGCCCCATTCTCCCGCTTTCCATCACCCCGCCCCATTCTCTCGCTTTCCATCCTCCCGCTCCATTGTCCCGCTTTCCATTACCCCGCCCAATTCTCCCTCTTTCCATCACCCCTCCCCATTCTCCCTTTTTCCATCACTCCGCCCCATTCTCCCGCTTTCCATCACCCCGCCCCATTCTCCCTCTTTCCATCACCCCGCCCCACTCTCCCGCCTTCCATCAACCCGCCCAATTCTCCCTCTTTCCATCACCCCGCCCCATTCTCCCTCTTTCCATCACCCCGCCCCATTCTCCCGCTTTCCATCACCCCGCCCCATTCTCCTTCTTTCCATCACCCCGCCCCATTCTCCCTCTTTCCATCACCCCGCCCCATTCTCCCACTTTCCATCACCCCGTGCCATTTTCCCTCTTTCCATCACCCCGCCCCATTCTCCCGCTTTCCATCACTCCGCCCCATTCTCTCGCTTTCCATCATCCCGCTCCATTGTTCCGCTTTCCATCACCCCGCCCAATTCTCACTCTTTCCATCACCCCTCCCCATTCTCCCCTTTTCCATCACCCCGCCCCATTCTCACGCTTTCCATCACCCCGCCCCATTCTCCCTCTTTCCATCACCCCGCCCCATTCTCCCTCTTTCCATCACCCCGCCCAATTCTCCCGCTTTCCATCACCCCGCGTGTTCTTTTTTTTTTTGCACACGCTAGGCCCTTGTTCTTGCTATTTGCAGACGCTATGCCCTAGTTCTTTTTATTCTGCACACGCTAGGCCCTTGTTCTTGCAATTTTGCACATGCTAGACCCTTGTTCTTTTTATTTTGCACACACTAGGCCCTTGCTCTTGCTATTTCGTGAATGCTAGGCCCTTGTTCTTGATTTTTTGCACACCCTAGGCCCTTGCTCTTGCTATTTTGCACTCGGTAGGCCCTTGTTCTTGCAATTTCGCACACGCTAGGCCCTTGTTCTTTCAATTTTGCACACGCTAGGCCCTTGTTCTTTTTTTTTTGCACACGCTAGGCCCTTGTTCTTTTTATTTTGCACACTCTAGGCCCTTGTTCTTGCTATTTTGGACACGCTATGCCCTTGTTCTTTTTTTTTTGCACACGGTAGGCCCTTGTTCTTGCAATTTTGCACATGCTAGACCCTTGTTCTTTTTATTTTGCACACGCTAGGCCCTTGTTCTTGCTATTTCGCGAACGCTAGGCCCTTGTTCTTCATTTTTTGCACACGCTAGGCCCTTGCTCCTGCTATTTAACACTCCCTAGGCCCTTGTTCTTGCAATTTTGCACACGCTAGGCCCTTGTGCTTGTAATTTTGCACACGCTAGACCCTTGTTCTTGCAATTTTGCACACGCTAGGCCCTTGTTCTTTTTATTTTGCACACGCTAGGCCCTTGTTCTTGCTATTTTGCACACGCTATGCCCTTGATTTTTTTATTTTGCACACGCTAGGCCCTTGTTCTTGCAATTTTGCACATGCTAGACCCTTGTTCTTTTTATTTTGCACACGCTAGGCCCTTGCTCTTGCTATTTTGCACTCGCTAGGCCCTTGTTCTTGCAATTTTGCACACGCTAGGCCCTTGTTCTTGCTATTTTGCACACGCTAGGCCCTTGTTCTTTTTATTTTGCACACGCTAGGCCCTTGTTCTTTTTATTTTGCACACGCTAGGCCCTTCTTCTTGCTATTTTGCATACGCTATGCCCTAGTTCTTTTTATTTTGCACACGCTAGGCCCTTGCTCTTGCTATTTTGCGAACGCTAGGCCCTTGTTCTTGATTTTTTGCACACGCTAGGCCCTTGCTCTTGCTATTTTGCACTCGCTAGGCCCTTGTTCTTGCAATTTTGCACACGCTAGGCCCTTGTTCTTGCAATTTTGCACACGCTAGGCCCTTGTTCTTGCTATTTTGCACACGCTAGGCCCTTGTTCTTTTTATTTTGCACACGCTAGGCCCTTGTTCTTTTTATTTTGCACACGCTAGGCCCTTCTTCTTGCTATTTTGCATACGCTATGCCCTAGTTCTTTTTATTTTGCACACGCTAGGCCCTTGTTCTTGCAATTTTGCACATGCTAGACCCTTGTTTTTTATTTTTTGCACACACTAGGCCCTTGTTCTTGCTATTTCGTGAACGCTAGGCCCTTGTTCTTGATTTTTTGCACACGCTAGGCCCTTGTTCTTTTTATTTTGCACACGCTATGCCCTTGTTATTGCTATTTTGCACACGCTATGCCCTTGTTCTTTTTATTTTGCACACGCTAGGCCCTTGTTCTTGCAATTTTCCACATGCTAGACCCTTGTTCTTTTTATTTTGCACACGCTAGGCCCTTGTTCTTGCTATTTCGCGAACCCTGGGCCGTTGTTCTTGATTTTTTGCACATGCTAGGCCCTTGCTCTTGCTATTTTGCACTCGCTAGGCCCTTGTTCTTGCAATTTTGCACATCAGGCCCCTGTTCTTGCAATTTTGCACATGTTAGGCCCTTGTTCTTTTTATTTTGCACACGCTAGTCCCTTGTTCTTTTTATTTTGCACACGCTAGGCCCTTGTTCTTGCTATTTGCAGACGCTATGCCCTAGTTCTTTTTTTTTTGCACACGCTAGGCCCTTGTTCTTGCAATTTTGCACATGCTAGACCCTTGTTCTTTTTATTTTGCACACACTAGGCCCTTGCTCTTGCTATTTTGTGAATGCTAGGCCCTTGTTCTTGATTTTTTGCACACCCTAGGCCCTTGCTCTTGCTATTTTGCACTCGCTAGGCCCTTGTTCTTGCAATTTTTCACACGCTAGGCCCTTGTTTTTTCAATTTTGCACATGCTAGGCCCTTGTTCTTTTTTTTTTTGCACATGCTAGGCCCTTGTTCTTTTTATTTTGCACACGCTAGGCCCTTGTTCTTGCAATTTTGCACATGCTAGACCCTTGTTCTTTTTATTTTGCACACGCTAGGCCCTTGTTCTTGCTATTTCGCGAACGCTAGGCCCTTGTTCTTCATTTTTTGCACATGCTAGGCCCTAGCTCCTGCTATTTTGCACTCGCTAGGCCCTTGTTCTTGCAATTTTACACACGCTAGGCCCTTGTTCTTGTAATTTTGCACACGCTAGACCCTTGTTCTTGAAATTTTGCACACGCTAGGCCCTTGTTCTTTTTATTTTGCACACTCTAGGCCCGTGTTCTTGCTATTTTGGACACGCTATGCCCTTGTTCTTTTTTTTTTTGCACACGGTAGGCCCTTGTTCTTGCAATTTTGCACATGCTAGACCCTTGTTCTTTTTATTTTGCACACGCTAGGCCCTTGTTCTTGCTATTTCGCGAACGCTAGGCCCTTGTTCTTCATTTTTTGCACACGCTAGGCCCTTGCTCCTGCTATTTAACACTCCCTAGGCCCTTGTTCTTGCAATTTTGCACACGCTAGGCCCTTGTTCTTGTAATTTTGCACACGCTAGACCCTTGTTCTTGCAATTTTGCACACGCTAGGCCCTTGTTCTTTTTATTTTGCACACGCTAGGCCCTTGTTCTTGCTATTTTGCACACGCTATGCCCTTGATTTTTTTGTTTTGCACACGCTAGGCCCTTGTTCTTGCAATTTTGCACATGCTAGACCCTTGTTCTTTTTATTTTGCACACGCTAGGCCCTTGCTCTTGCTATTTTGCGAACGCTAGGCCCTTGTTCTTGATTTTTTGCACACGCTAGGCCCTTGCTCTTGCTATTTTGCACTCGCTAGGCCCTTGTTCTTGCAATTTTGCACACGCTAGGCCCTTGTTCTTGCAATTTTGCACACGCTAGGCCCTTGTTCTTGCTATTTTGCACACGCTAGGCCCTTGTTTTTTTTATTTTGCACACGCTAGGCCCTTGTTCTTTTTATTTTGCACACGCTAGGCCCTTCTTCTTGCTATTTTGCATACGCTATGCCCTAGTTCTTTTTATTTTGCACACGCTAGGCCCTTGCTCTTGCTATTTTGCGAACGCTAGGCCCTTGTTCTTGATTTTTTGCACACGCTAGGCCCTTGCTCTTGCTATTTTGCACTCGCTAGGCCCTTGTTCTTGCAATTTTGCACACGCTAGGCCCTTGTTCTTGCAATTTTGCACACGCTAGGCCCTTGTTCTTGCTATTTTGCACACGCTAGGCCCTTGTTCTTTTTATTTTGCACACGCTAGGCCCTTGTTCTTTTTATTTTGCACACGCTAGGCCCTTCTTCTTGCTATTTTGCATACGCTATGCCCTAGTTCTTTTTATTTTGCACACGCTAGGCCCTTGTTCTTTTTATTTTGCACACGCTAGGCCCTTGTTCTTTTTATTTTGCACACGCTAGGCCCTTCTTCTTGCTATTTTGCATACGCTATGCCCTAGTTCTTTTTATTTTGCACACGCTAGGCCCTTGTTCTTGCAATTTTGCACATGCTAGACCCTTGTTTTTTATTTTTTGCACACACTAGGCCCTTGTTCTTGCTATTTCGTGAACGCTAGGCCCTTGTTCTTGATTTTTTGCACACGCTAGGCCCTTGTTCTTTTTATTTTGCACACGCTATGCCCTTGTTATTGCTATTTTGCACACGCTATGCCCTTGTTCTTTTTATTTTGCACACGCTAGGCCCTTGTTCTTGCAATTTTCCACATGCTAGACCCTTGTTCTTTTTATTTTGCACACGCTAGGCCCTTGTTCTTGCTATTTCGCGAACCCTGGGCCGTTGTTCTTGATTTTTTGCACATGCTAGGCCCTTGCTCTTGCTATTTTGCACTCGCTAGGCCCTTGTTCTTGCAATTTTGCACATCAGGCCCCTGTTCTTGCAATTTTGCACATGCTAGGCCCTTGTTCTTTTTATTTTGCACACGCTAGTCCCTTGTTCTTTTTATTTTGCACACGCTAGGCCCTTGTTCTTGCTATTTGCAGACGCTATGCCCTAGTTCTTTTTATTTTGCACACGCTAGGCCCTTGTTCTTGCAATTTTGCACATGCTAGACCCTTGTTCTTTTTATTTTGCACACACTAGGCCCTTGCTCTTGCTATTTTGTGAATGCTAGGCCCTTGTTCTTGATTTTTTGCACACCCTAGGCCCTTGCTCTTGCTATTTTGCACTCGCTAGGCCCTTGTTCTTGCAATTTTTCACACGCTAGGCCCTTGTTTTTTCAATTTTGCACATGCTAGGCCCTTGTTCTTTTTTTTTTTGCACATGCTAGGCCCTTGTTCTTTTTATTTTGCACACGCTAGGCCCTTGTTCTTGCAATTTTGCACATGCTAGACCCTTGTTCTTTTTATTTTGCACACGCTAGGCCCTTGTTCTTGCTATTTCGCGAACGCTAGGCCCTTGTTCTTCATTTTTTGCACATGCTAGGCCCTAGCTCCTGCTATTTTGCACTCGCTAGGCCCTTGTTCTTGCAATTTTACACACGCTAGGCCCTTGTTCTTGTAATTTTGCACACGCTAGACCCTTGTTCTTGAAATTTTGCACACGCTAGGCCCTTGTTCTTTTTATTTTGCACACTCTAGGCCCTTGTTCTTGCTATTTTGGACACGCTATGCCCTTGTTCTTTTTTTTTTGCACACGGTAGGCCCTTGTTCTTGCAATTTTGCACATGCTAGACCCTTGTTCTTTTTATTTTGCACATGCTAGGCCCTTGTTCTTGCTATTTCGCGAACGCTAGGCCCTTGTTCTTCATTTTTTGCACACGCTAGGCCCTTGCTCCTGCTATTTAACACTCCCTAGGCCCTTGTTCTTG